GATAAAAATTCTCCCGAAATTTTGAGGTGTCCAACCCAAAATTAAAAGACACTAAATAAAAAATTAGATAAAGCTATCTAGAAAATCTTTTAAAAAATAAAGTCAGTATTTATTTTTTTGGTTTTTAACATGGAGTTTGAGCCCGCCCTAGCCAATGTCATCCCCTACTAGAAATAGAAATAAGACACACTAGAACACACGAAAAAAAATAATATAATATTTGAACTTGTTATTATATTTACTATCAAATGTAATTGCAATACATAAATCACCCTATTAAAATACTAACACGACGAAATAACACAACTTGTTGGTTGAGTTATTTAATTGTAAAATGGATGAGTTAAGATTAAATAATATCCAATAAGAATGCACTTTGCAGAACTTAGTGTATAAAAAAACTAAACAAGGCCGAACAGATTATAAAGCTTATATGAGATCCTAATTAACATAATTTTTAACATATAATAATCGTTATATATTTAATTAATTAATTAATTTCATATGTCCTTAGGGCCAACTAAATTATAATTAATGAACCTTTTATCATGCACCACCTCACAATCATACCGTTTGAAATCAATTTATCGTCCTCAAAATTATTAAAATAATAAATTTATGTAGAATATTGTAAAAACTTAAATAACTAAATGAAAAGTATAGTGCATTGGATGCTTGCTGAAGTCAAAAGTATTATCAGAAAAATATATTTAATTCTATATAACATGTTAGGTAACAGCATTAGGTTTGACTTGGGTCTCGAGATTTATTTATTTATTTCTTGTCTTACATATGCATGCATAATAATAACTAAATAAATATATAAATTAGTAAGGTCTCGTGAAATATTTGAATAGATGCGCCTATCTCAGCAAAAGATTATCTGAAAATCATTTAAAATTGGCATAACTTATATAAAATTTAATATTTTTTGGACGCAATATTAATTCAATTATTTAATTTTTTTTTTCACTAAATATGTATACTCTCAAACTAAAATGTCATATTTTAAACAAAAAAAAATATCGATAGTTATATTTGGTAAAAATATTAATGGGTCGACTCGTCTATCAAGTTAGGCCGTTTCACACAAAAATTTGTGGAGTTACATATCTTCTAAATCTAGTTTTAACGTTATAACTGCATTACATTAATTGAAGAGAATATTTCCCAATCAGCCACAAATTCTCCTGCTATGTGTAATTACATTATTCTTAAATAAATTTAAAATGATAGTATATTTTTCATTTATTAATTTTAACTTAAATGACTGTCGGGTCTAAAATGACAAAATGACATATAAATAAATACTGTCTGCAATAGTAATTTTTATTGTTAAAAATACTGTGATGCTCAGATATCTAAATTTGTGGTGACAGATTTTATTATATGGAACTATTTTGACCGCAATATTTTATTGTAAAAGTAAACAAAGGGAGGATGACTCGACTTTTACTGTAGAATTATCGGATGACTCGACTTTTAGAGTCATCGAATGACCCGTCTTTGATATCTGATTTGTCCAGCCTAGTTGCGGATTAAAAATTAAACCAAAATTTTGGTTATTTTTAACAGCAAAAAATAAAAAAGGGTCAAATTAAAGACGCCGTACTTAATTGTACTGTTAGGTCCCTTTCCAATTGGCTGGACCAAAATATTTTTTGTAACTAAGTTGGGATAACTCAATTTAATGGGCCCAATTTGAAAATTAGTCTAATTGACCCCTTAAATTGAATTTTTAAAATTTACTTAAATTGACTTTTTAAAATTTAGTTTGTTTATTTTTATATAAATTGAAAATCTATATATTGTTGTAAAATGAAATAATTATAAATTTAAACCATAATTAGGTGCAAAAATAATGTGCCCCAACCTTATCATCTACGGCTGCTATTCAACGTTGACTTTGGTTCATAGCAGAGAATGATGTGAGAATTTTTGTTTGTATGCGTGGCGACTCAGTCTACACCAAGATATATATATTTTTTAGTACTAATTTATATATTATTAATTTATTTTGTATAATTTCGGTTTTTAAATAAGGTAAGTATATAACATAAAAACGTTATGGATAATTCAACATACGAAATGTTGCGCAATTGGATGATGCTATAATCATTTGTCAGTTATAACTTTTGTTTGAATCTCTAAAAATTATTTTTAGTAAGTTAATGAAAAGTTTTGTTCCCCACGTTGCTTTGCCTAGAGCTGTTAAATTAAACGAGTCGCATGTGAGCTTGGCTCGACTGAACTCGTTAAGGCTCGACTTGTTTGATAGACGAGCCGAGCTCGAGCTCATTTAATACTCAGTTAGAGCTCGACTCGACAAAACTTGTAAATATGATTTGTATGCATTTTTTTAGAGTTCGGCTCGATTTTGGCTCGTAATATTGATAAACTAGTTGAATCCGAGCTCAATTATTAAAAAAAAGCTATGCCACTTGCAATTTTAAACTATATTCTTCCAAAAAAAAAAAAATTACTCAAAAATTTTAAAAATATTTGAAATAAAATAGACAACTTAGTGATAAAGAAGAAGATATATGAATATAGTTTGTGTGGCAGTAGAGCCTCATCAGTACTACATAATAGTGACATCCCATTGACTTTGTCCCAAGTCTTTACCATAAATAACAAAATTATATAAACATGCTATAGTCTATAAATATGAAATCCACTATTATACATATCAAATTGATGTTCGAATTTGCAAAAATAAAAAAATAAAAAGTCAGTGGATTAATATGCACTTTACAAAAATGTCATATTTTTTTTCTTGCAATTAGCCTATTTTTTATTTATATTATTTTTCAATTTATGAAAATGTATATAATCCCCCAACACACATACACACGCACACACAATTAGAGCTATCAAATGAAAATAAGTAGTCCTGAGCTCGAGTCAACTCGGTTTGTTTGAGTTTGTTGCTCGATAAATATAGGTTTTTCCGTAATTTCATTACTTTCTAACACACTTCAGATTATCATGCTAGTTAACGATAAAATCTTGAACTTGTTTATCGACTTAACTCGATAACAAGTTCCAAGTTCACAAGTTTGACTCAGGCACAAATCTTGTCGATCTTAAAGTCAGAATTTTTGTTTTCAACTGTGGATTTTTGAGATATAACCGTTGATTAACATTTCTCTAGTTTCTCGATTTATTTTCGAGATATATATATTTATTGCGAACCATATTTTCATTTTTACCATTTTTTCAATATAACATTTTACTACAAACTTATGTATATTTATTAAATAAAAACATGTCAATCTAATCTATCTATTGAAAAATATATGCTAGCCTAATAATTAAAAAATTTACTATCCACAACACTAATGAACTTAAATTTGACTAGTTCAAAGTGAATTGAATTAGCTTTACACAAGCTCAAAAGCTTCCCATTTTTAATAATAACATAGGAAATTTCCAATGTACATTTTGAAGCTTCCTTTATTGATGTAATATTATAAAACAGAAAATGAGAGTGACATGACCTGCAAAAATGGATGACTTGGTCCAAAGCAGAGTAAGTTGGCTTATGACCTCCAAAAAAAACATTTGAAGTGAAGTGAATTTTCTTTTATCTCTTCATAAGAATTTTAATCCATTTTTGACCACCCCACTAAAGTTAATGTAATTAGTGTTATAAACGAACCGAACCGAACCGAACCGAGTTTGGGCTGTTCGAGCTCGTGTTCGTTTAACTTCGAATAATGCTCGTGTTCGTTCGTTTATTTTTCCAGCAAAAAATCGTGTTCGAGTTCGTTCGTTTAATTGTTCGTCAAAATTCGAATTCGTTCGTATTCGAATAATTTAATACATAAACTTTTTGAGTGCTCGTCAAAGTGAATTTTCTTTTGTCTTCTTCATAAGAATTTTAATCCATTTTTTGACCACCCCACTAAAGTTAATGTAATTGACAAGTTAGAAAAAGCATATATATGCAAGAAAGATGGCATGGATCAATTTTGAGTGTTTCAATTCAAACTTATGTTGATTGTAACCAACTAATTGAAGGGTTTGTGTTTTGTGAATTTCATGATTAGGTTATTTAGGACTAAGTCGATTTTATGGGAAATGCTACAGTCCCGTTACGGAACTATTCTATCGAGATTTGTAACCGTTAGATCATCATGTAACCGTGACAGTAGAATCTCCTCCATTTTATAGATAATATTATTGCATTTTTTTGTAATCGTTGGATCAACATGCACTCATGTGGAGGGTATAAGTGAGTGTGTTATTTGAAAAAAAAAATCCGGTTTGAGCATTGTTGTCACTAGTAGAATCCCTTTTTTTTTATAATTTCTTTTGAAATCAATAACATAAAGTTTTTTTTTTTTTGAATTATTTATTTACTTAATTATTTAATTTGTGGGTTACCCAATCATATATTAACCTGTTGGCTGAAAATTCTAATGAAGCTGCATATTTTCTGTACACAAAGTGTTACTTGAATACTTTTGTACCAAATGGTTTTATCTTAAAGGAGTTTTTTTAATTTGAGTATTGCAGTTATGTTTTGTTTAAGGCTTCAAGTTTTAGTTCTAGCACTGAAAGAAGCTAAGAAAATTAGAGGGTCACTGTATTGGCCCACTCAATTGGTTTTGGATTGGGTCCTGAAGAAAGGCCCAAAAAGATTAAATTTTGCTTTAACTAATGTATTCTGATCTATTTTGATGCTCTTTGGGATTCCATTATATTGGACCATAGACCCAATTGTCTTAATTAACATTACATATTATTCCTTGCAATCCTGAAAACATATTTTACTCCTTTCACAGGGTGCAGTCTTGAAACCAAAGTCTCCTGTGTTCTAATACTCATTTGTGTTCATAAATGTCTCCAGAAAACAATGCATTTACGAATTTTCGACACTGAGCTCCCTCACTCATATTCATGATAATCAAAGGATTCAAATTTTGCCCTTGAGCTTTCAGGATGTTTTCGGAAAACGAAATCACTTCGCGCAGTTTGTCAATCAAAGCAAGCAAGACATACAGAGGAAAAGTAGATGCATGAAAGATGAATCCCACATTTTTCGGCTTAACCATTAAAGGCTCCAAGAGAGATCACATCTAATCCAGATATAACGATTTTGATCACCGTACAAGAAGAGATGCAGCATACAAAATATATTGGGAAAAATGTCACAATGTATCAACTTTCTCAAAAAAACACTGTTGATATCTGATTTGTATGTAAGTCTCCCACATCGAGGCTCTCTCAGAGCCACCAAAACAAAATTACAAATTAAGGGTTTTCGGATGATCAGAGATCAAGATCGTGTAACCCCATTTGTACCTTTAAATCTCTGCTTCATCTCATATAAGAAAACTACAACATATGTTCAAAAGGTGGCAACTTTAACAATCTCAAGACCCGTTAAGCTGTTTTAGCTTGTACACACACAAGTACTATTTTCCCGAGCATCCCTCCAAAATGGGAATTACAAAATCGCCATCCTTCGGGTCCCCTCCTCGGTTTTCACTCTTCTCGACACATTCTTCATTTTCAAAATCTTCTTTTCCTTCTCTCATAACTCTAGTAAAACGACTACCCAACAATATAAGCTCCAACATTTTCCTCCGAACATCATAAAGCTCATCTGTCTCGATCAATCTACCTTTGCTGTATGCTTCCCTTAAAAAGACCATTTGAGTTTTCCCTCTAGTCGACATGTAAAAAATCCCCGGATGTTTCAATATAAGCTCGCGCAAATTAACCTCTATACCTAAATCCTTCCTGAAATGCGCCAATCTCTCGATTTCCACCATTTTCTCCACAGTCAAGTAGAGGAGCTCGTGAATAATGCCCACGGCTCGTTTTTCGTACCTCTCAACACCTCCACACGAACGGGCACGAGCTTTTTCGACTTTCTCGTAAGGCTTTATATAGGAAAGTCTCTGCCAGTTTCTCAGCTTCTCCTTAAACCCTGGGACTATCTTAAACCCTGTTGGGAAATTGATTGGGAATGCGTATTTCACCTCGAATTCACTCAGCCATTTCTCTATATACTCTTTTTCTCTCCATTCTTCGATTTTCGCGGTGAAAGCTTTCGTCTTTTCCACATTCTCATTCCAGTCGACTAATTCGACTATCTCCCAGTCTACCATTCTGAATAGTTCAATGTGCTTTCTAATGATTGAGTCCCTAAAATCCTCAGGAAACCCTAATTCCCTTCTCATCAATCTAATGGCATGGAGGTGCACTCTGCCATTGACAGACATGGTGAGAATTTTTCTGAGTTTAATCACGTTCATCTCCTCCATACCAGACACAATCTCATCCTCGAGCTCGAGAAATTTTACGAAATTCGGCGTGAATTTACAGCACGCGTTTTTCCTGACCGGGTGGGTGAATACCTCGAAGACGTGAGGGTACTTGCGGAGGAATTCGCCGGCGGTGAGGGTTTCGACGCCGGCGTGCGGGGCCCACCGGGAGAGGAGCTGAACGGAGACGAAGGGCCCGCGCTTCCTGGAGGAGACGAGGGCGTGGACGCTGAGCGCGAGAGCGAGGCGGCGGCGGTGGAAGGCGAGGAGGTCGAGCTTCGGGTCGAGGGTGCGGGTCTCGATCCGGGTCTGGGCGGTATCCGCGGGTTTTCTGCGGCGGATCTGGATCGAGGCGGCGAATGGGCCGCCGGGGATTTGGGGCCGGAGTGTGGTGGTGAGTTTCTGCAAGATTCTCATAACCCTTTTGTTTTCCGGTACATGGAATCTGTTACGAAGGGTTTATCAATGGCGGGTGATGTTTTGTTCATGAACAACGTCAACAAGAACCGATCGTTTAACAATTTTTCGTTTTGAATATTACTAGCAATTGATTTTAGCTCGCCATGGAGTTGCAGAGCTGAAGAGGAAGTGAAGATGTGAAAAGGAGGAAAAGGGGTAATTTACATTGAACCCCTAAACTATAATTTAATTACTGATTTAGCCTGCTCAAACTATTATTTATAATGTTGTATATACAGTAAGTATGGGGGTGAAAATGAGAGAGTTTAACTTTAGACTCCTAATACCCGAGCTAGAAAATCGAGTTTAGTCGAGCTCGAGTTAAATTAAATCACTATTATTAACGAAAAACATATTTTTATATGAATAAAAAAAGATAATGGCATAAATAAATCGATTTTACGAGTGACTCATTTTATTTATCAATTTGAATTGTATTTTAAACATATCTATATTTGAATAAAACAAATGATGGTAGGTAAAACAAATCTAATGGAAGAGTTATTTTATTTTATGATGGGGGATAAAGATTATTATTCTTTGTAATGTAATATAAAAGTAATAAATAATAAACAGTAATACAAAATGGATGAATTATTTTAATTATAAAATATAAATGATTAAAATGATACAAATGAATATTTTTTATTTATTTTATTTCGTGGATTTATTTTACTAGTGATAAGACCAACTCCAATGCAGCGCTAGATGACTCTTTTTCGCTGGAGTTGTGCAGATAATCTGCTCCAATGCTGCGCTATTTCTCTGCTCCAGTATAAAGTTATAAACAGTGTATCTCCAGATGTGGAGATATACTGTAGCAACTCTACATTTTTTTAATGTATTTTAATGTTATATTAATGATAAATTTTTGATAATGTGTATTGGTAAATATATTCTTATGCTAAATAACTTTGTGCAATATATCTTAATGCTAAATAATTTTGTATTTTTTTATATATTTATGTATTATAATTTTATTTTGTATTTTTTAATATTAAAATGGTATTGTATGAATAAAAATTTAACACAATTAAACAAGTAGATTTCATTAAAATAAAAAGCTTACAACACTCGTAAATCACAATACACAAATAAAATAAATAAAATATATTTGTACTATTTTGGTAATAAATATTTATATAATATTAAATATACATATATATGTACCAATTTATTTGAAATAAAAACGAATAAAAAATAATATATTTAATGTAGGGTAAAATGTAGAGATAAGAGCTGAAGATGAAACTTGATTTTTGCTCCACTCTACTTTAGAGTAGAGTAAAGTCCGCGCTAGAATAGAGATAAGAGCTGGAGATGGTCTAAGAAATGTAAGATGCTAAAATCGAATTTCAAAATACTTGGAGGAGGCACATGCAATCTTACAAAAATAGTCCATTCCCCTTAAAATGTATTTTTATTTCATTTTATTTTTATTTATTTATTTATTAAAAAGGGCTTATCCATCCATTACTCTTGGGAAAATTACTGGAGAAAAATGGCTCTCCTCTTCACATCCTCCTTCTCCACCCTTTCTTCACCATCGTCATCCACTTCTGGAGTCTCTGCACACCCTTGTAAGTACACAAAACCCTCTATTCAATGATTTTAATATACATGAGCCTCATAAATCTTACTGCCTTAAACAATAAAATGTAATGGTTATGTTTGGAGGTTTATGGCGGTGGATATTTTTCATAGTTTTTTTGTGGGCGATCTGAAAAATCGAAACTTTGAATTTTCTGGGATGGCTACATTTCCTCATTGTGATTTCCTGATATGGGTTTACCTGGTAAAATGCTAAAAAAAAAACGCATATTTCTTCTATTCGTAAGTATTCACAGCACGCACTTAAGGTGTTTGTCTAAATGTCAAGCTCTGCAACTTCGTATAAATACTGGCTTAAATTAGTCGGTTGTTATGTACAATGTGGAGTATCATAGTATATTACAGTAGTGTTCTTATATATCTTCCTGGGATGGGCCGTATTTCCTTATTTCTTGTGATTTCTTGATATGGGTTTACCAGAGGAAAATGGAAAAATTGCCTCTTTCGTCTATTCGTTAGTATTCACAGCAACTACTCTCTGTGTTTTTCTGTATGTCATGCTCTGCAACCTTGACGGTGTGTAGATCCTGGCTTAAACTAATCGGTTTTTCTGTACAATGTGGAGTATAATAGTATATTATGGTGTTTTTATTTATCTTCTTGAGAGCCCATGTACTATCTAGGGGTGTTTGTTGGCGTGTATTGTCAAACATGTGCTCGGCATTTGATTTGTAAATGCATTGCTTGATTGTTGCGTCTCGTATCTTCAGAAGATTTCAGTTGCAAAGCAACTAACTTCGTAATAGGTTTCATATGATGGCGTGAGTAGTTTAAGACGTTTGCATATTATGGGGATAAGGAGCTAAGGTTATGGTTCTTTGGTATATAAATATGCATTCTGCCTTTTATAGAGGAATAGCTTATTAGATAAGTTCCAGGTTTAACCTTGATAACAATAACAGTCATGTATATGCTACTATTTTTTACAGAATGCATCTATATAGGACATAAGTTTGTAAAACCAAATGCAAAATCCAAAGACGAGTATAGTGATATTACAAAATCTGGATTTTCCATCTTTCTTTTCTCCTTGTGTTTTGGTTAACCATCATAAGCAGATCTATTTGTCATGAAGTCCTCTTATGTAGCTACGTACTTTTAAAGGAGATGTAAACATTTTCAAATTCTCTTTGAGTTTGCTCTCGTTTATAATTAGTTTTCAGGTTCTCCCACAAGTCAATTTCACTGCACCCGACAAAAGCCTATGTCGGGACCCAAATCCGACCACCTTTTGTCCTCAACAACAGAGGCCCCTTACTTGTTAATGCATCTTCAGTTGTTAGTGGAACAATCGCGACCGGTCTGGAGGGCCCACCACCCCTTCCATCGGATGGCAAGGAAGAAAGCATACCGGTTGAGAACCTTCCATTAGAGTCCAAGCTTCAGGAGATAAACGAGCAGAGGATAAAAACGAAACTGGCCAAGAAAATCAGGATGAGGCGAAAGAGGCTCGTCCAGAAACGCCATCTGAGGAAGAAGGGTCGGTGGCCGCCTTCGAAAATGAAAAAGAATATGCACGTTTGAATATTTTGTGTTTAGATTTCACGCGGGGTTTTTTTCTGACTTGTTTTGGATGCTGTTTATTGCAGTTTGTAGTGTAA